AAGTGATTCTCCTACCTCAGGGTCCCAAGTAGCTGGGATTACAGGCATGCACTACCACGCCCAGCTAATTTTTGTATTTTTAGTAGAGACGAGGTTTCACCATGTTGGCCAGGATGGTCTTGATCTCCTGACCTCATGATCCACTTGCCTTGGCTTCCCAAAGTGCTGGGATAACAGGTGTGAGTCACTGTGCCCGGCCTCCCGGTATCTTCTTTCTTTGGTGACTTTTTTTTTTTTTTTGGGTAAAGAACTAAGAACCCCAATGCTCTCAGCATTACCAATACATGCAGAGGTTATGCTTCTTTTGTAAGTGAGAGGAACTCAGTCTGGTTTGGAAGCTTGGGCTTTCATTGGCCTGAGATATATGCCTTTTACAAGATGGAAAACAAACGTTCCTAAAAGCAATAACATCACTTGACATTTTTGTAGCCCTTTTCATCTTCAAAGCAATTTGTAGACATTAAAGAATAAGCTGTCAGCCCTTCCCAGATAAGAATCATTGCCTAAGCGCTTAGTACAACCCTGTCCTGTTCCTCAGACCTAAACAATGAGCCCTGCTTATAAACTGTGGCTGAACAAAATGACTTCTTAGGAGAAGAAAACGCAGGGAGAGTGGGGGAATGAACTCAGCTGGAAGGAAGAAAAAAAGGCGACCTGCAATTTATCTAGTACATATTGTGAGTCTGGGGTGACAGTTTGGAGAACACTGGGGCTTCAGCCTGGCTGTGCGCCTGTTGCCCAGGCTGGAGTGCAGTGGCGTGAGCTCAGCTCACTGCAACCTCTATCCCGCAAGTTCAAGCAATTCTCCTGCCTCAGTCACCTGAGTAGCTGGGATTACAGGCGTGCACCAACATGCCTGGCTAATTTTTTGTATTTTTGGTAGAGGCAGAGTTTCACCATGTTGGCCAGGCTAGTCTCAAACTCCTGACCTCAGGTGATCCACCCACCTTGGCCTCCCAAAGTGCTGGGATTATAGGCGTGAACCACCGCACCAGGCCTCTTCCTTTCTTTCCTTTTTATTTATTTATTTTTTGGAGGTCAGGGGTGCAGTGGTGAGATCATAGCTCCCTGCAGCCTTGAACCCCTGGGCTCAAGTGATCCTCCTGCCTCAGCCTCCTGTGTAGTTAGGGCTACAGGCATGCACCACCACGTCTGGCTAATTTGTCTTTTGAAAAAGAACGTTTTTTGGGACAGGGTCTTACTATGTTGCCAGTATCATTTTATTTTGGTTTTCTTGATTAAAAAAAAAAAAAAAAAGACACACCTGAATGCGTTCTCTCTTTAGGTCACTTATGCCAGGCTTATTGCCTAACCCCATAACTTTTAGCTATTTTTTTCACTACATTTTTGTTACAATGTCTTAGATTTCTGTTCCTCAATCATCTTTTTTTTCTTTTTTTATTGAGACGGAATCTTGCTCTTTCAGTTCAGGGGCACAATCTTGACTCACTGTAACCTCTGCCTCCCAGGTTCAAGTGATTCTCCTGCCTCAGCCTCCCAAATAGTGGGGATTACAGGTGCGCACCACCACACCTGGCTAATTTTTTGTATTTTTGGTAGAGATGGGGTTTCACCATGTTCGCCAGGCTGGTCTTGAACTCCTGACCTCAAGCAATCTACTACCCACCATGGTCTCCCACAGTGCTGGGATTACAGGCATGAGCCACCACGCACGGCCTAGTCCTCAAGCACCTTTTTTTTTTTTTTTTTTGAGACAGAGTCTCGGTCTGTCGCCAGGCTGGGCGCAGTGGTGTCATCTCAGCTCGCTGCAACCTCTGTCTCCTGGGTTCATGCAATTCGCCTGCCTCAGCCTCCCGAGTAGCTGGGACTACACACATGCACCACCGTGCCCGGTTAATTTTTTGTATTTCAGTAGAGACAGGGTTTTGCCATGTTGGCCAGGATGGTCTGGATCTCCTGACCTTGTGATCCGCCTGCCTTCGCCTCTCCAAGTGCTGGGATTATAGGCGTGAGCCGCCGTGCTCGACCGTATCTTTCTAAGGTGTATACATACCTGCACTGTGTGTGAGTGGTAAGTTTACTGTGATTTATTCTTTCCTTAGCATGAGCCAAGGACAACATGTGAATAAAACAATGTTTAGATCCTGCTACAGTGAAGGTTTTGGAAAAGTCAACATCTTTGGGGAGCAGTTTTGTCATCTGGTAAAAAGGAAAAGAAGGGACTGGGCGTGGTGGCTCACGCCTGTAATCCCATAACTTTGGGAGGCCAAGGTGGATGGATCACCTGAGGTTAGGAGTTCGAGACCAGCCATGGCCAACATGGCGAAACCCCGTCTCTACTGAAAAAAGGAAAAAAAAAAAAAATATATATATATATATATATATATAAATATATAAATATAAATATATATATATTTTTTCTTGACTCTGTTAAAAAGAATGTGCCTTTATATACTGTACAGAGGTCTGCCACGCAGAGTGACAATAGCTACCATTTGCCTGTGGCCTGCGATGTGCACTACACTACAGGTTTATGAGTTATCTCACTTAACAGACTGCAGAAAACTGCTCTTCCACTTTGCAGGAAACAAACTTAGTCAAAAAGCTGTCACATAAGGTTCCTGTTTGTTTTTTGATGATCCTCAATCATCAAAAAGAGAAAAGGCTGAGAAGAGAAAACCTTACGAACTCAGAAAATGCAAATCAAATGAGACTCGCGAAAACAAAACTGGCAAAGCTGTCTCCAGGAGGCCCACGGGACATGACACTGCCTGCAGGACAAAGCACGTATTTATTCCAGCCCTTCAAAGGCAACAGCGGCAGTGTCTTCTCTTCAGAAGGGAGGACTGCAGGGACACGCTGAGGAAGCACACAGGTTTCCATTTGCTGAATTCAAGTGCAAGCCTGAGGTACCTCAAAGAAAGAACAAATGCCAGTAAAATAAAAGGACAATTCAAAACTTAAGAGCTGGGCGCTGTGGCTCATGCCTGTAATCCTAGCAATTTGGGAGGCCGAGGTGGGTGGATCTCTTGAGGCCAGGAGTTTCAGATCAGCCTGCCTTACATAGTGAAACCCCATCTCTACTAAAAATACAAAAATTAGCCAGGTGTGGTGGTGCACACCTGTAATCTCAGCTACCCAGGAGGCTGAGGCAGGAGAATCACTTGAACCCAAGAGGCGGAGGCTGCAGTGAGCCAAGATCGTGCCACTGTACTCCAGCCTGGGAGACAGAGTGAGACTCTGTCTTAAAACAAAACAGAAGTTAATTTTTAGGCAGGCGTAAATTATATTGGGCTTTAGGATATTTCCTTCATAGTATCCTACATTTGATATTAACATCAGGAAAATCAACTAAAATTAAATACACTAAGTAAACAATGTACAAAAATCACGTTTCAGAAAATGACCTGAGAGTTCAAGACCAGTTTCTCCAGGAAAATGTGTAAAAAAATGTAATGAGAATTGTACAGTTTATGAACTCTCTGCCAAATTTTGCTGGGTCTTTTATATAGTCTGAATATAGTTTTCTTTTTTGGTGGAGGATAGAGGCTCGCTCTCTCGCCCAGGCTGGAATGCAGTGGTGCGGTCTCAGCTCACTGCAACCTCCGCCTCCCAGGTTCAAGCGATTCTCCTGCCTCAGCCTCCCAAGTAGCTGGGACTACAGGCACCCACCACCACGCCCGGCTAATTTTTGTATTTTTAGTAGAGACGGCATTTCACCATATTGGTCAGGCTGGTCTTGAACTCCTGACCTTAGGTGATCCGCCCATCTCAGGCTCCCAAAGTGCTGGGATTACAGGCGTGAGCCACTGCACCCAGCCTAGTCTGAATGTTTTCAATTGGTATCAAATGTATTTACATTTTCTTTGGCTTGGTAAAATGCCATCTTGACAAAGCCAGCTTCCAGAGCTAAACTTAAAATCAATCCTTGATACTAAATCCATCATATGTGGGTAGGCACCTATAAGCAGTTTTAAAAAACAAAGAGTATTTTTGAAGCACCTGTACATTAAACAACACCTATAATCCCAGCAGTTTGGAAGGCTGAGGCAGGAGGATCACTTAAGGCCAGGAGTTTGAGATCAGTCTGGGCAACACAGGGAAACCCCATCTCTACTACTTAAAAAAAAGAAAACAGAAAGGGCATCTGACGCACTGAATACAGAGATAAAGTACTGAGGACGAAGATTACCACTGGATACCACGTCGGGCAGTTACCCTGGGAAACTGTCATGTCTGTATCCTTCAAATTGCTTGGTGATGTCAACTAATACAGAAAGAGCTCTTAGTAGAATGTCTGGCACATCATAAAGCCTCGGTAAATCAGGCACAATTGATATCATCACTTCAACATGGTGGCCTTTTAAAAAGGCCACGTGGCAAAACCCCATCTCTACAAAAAAAATATAAAAATCAGCTGGGCGTGGTGGTGTGCACCAGTAGTCCCAGTTACTCAGGGGGCTGAGGCAGGATTGCCTGAGTCCAGGAGATTGAGGCTGCAGTGAGCTGTGATTGTGCCACTGCACTCCAGCCTGGGCAACAGAGCAAGACTCTGTCCCTAAATAAAACAGGCTGGGCGTGGTGGCTCACACCTATAATCCCACCACTTTGGGAGGCTGAGGTGGGCAGATCACTTGAGGATCAGGAGTTCCAGACCAGCCTGGCCAACACGGTGAAGCCCTGCCTCTACTAAAAATACAAAAATCAGCTGGGTGTGGTGGTGTGCACCTGTAATCCCAGCTACTCGGGAGGCTGAGGCAGCAGAATCGCTTGAACCAGGAGGTAGAGGTTGCAGTGAGCTGAGATTGAACCAGTGCACTCCATCCTGGGCGACACAGCGAGACTGTCTCAAAAAATAAAAATAAAAATAAATAAATAAAGCGACCCGGTAGAAAAGCAACGTATTTCATAGAAAGCATTTTATTATCAGAACAGTATGATTTCCTATGCTTAAGATCTATTTATTATGTTATTTTTACAAGTAGCAAAGTCCCTCTGTTTTTTTCCCCAGGTGATGTACATGAATATAAAAAGCGGCTGATGTCCACACTGCCTGGCCCGCCCGCATCAGGGTTGGCAGGAAGCTGCGGCTGATGAGCAGCTCCCGAGCGGCGGGGCGGGGCCTCCTCTTCTCCAGCTCCAGCACACTCATCAGTCGTCCTCTTGCTGATTTCTCTTCTGCCAAAGAAAACCAAGGGGACATTAAAATAGCACATGCTCCTTGGGATATCTGCTCAGCAGGTGTAATTTTCTAGAGGTCTTGGCAAAGATGTGATTTAAAATTGTCATGGAAAACCATGCTTTAATTCATTAAACTAGTTTATCACTTTGACTCCTGAGCAAATTATCCTCAGGTACTTGAGTATTTTCTTCTCTTTCTTCCATACATACAGAAACTCCTACACAGAAATCCACACAGAAGTATAAATATTCACATTCCCTCTTGAGTAAAATCACCACCAGAGCAGAGACTTGCTCTCCGTGCAGCCCTCTAACAATATACACACTTTCTTCACAGTTACAAGTATTTTGAAAAATGTTCAAAAGGCATATACAGCATAAAAACATTTTCTGTCACTCTAATCAATAAATTATGCCTTCAGCTCCTATTTTATATTTAATTAGAAAATGACCTAACTCACTAACTCGGCTCCATTCATAAGCATCAAAGTCTAGGTGATACAGGATTCCAGTGAAATATTATATAAAAGCCAATTTGAAGGTCTATTTGAAAAGACGGCCAGCATACTAAATGCACACAGACTTTACCAGCTTAAGGAAGTCTATTAGCTTGTGAGCGTCCTCCCCTGTAGACAGGTCTACAAAGTCCTTGGGCAGCCGGTAACTCAAATAGGGGCTGGGCTGGACTGTCACTTCACTGTTGGTGCAACGGAAAGCTGGGGAATCCTGTACAAAGAAGAAAAAGGAGAAAGAACGTCAGTCATTTATTTTTAGGTCTATTCTCTGAACTAAAAAAGAACCTAGCAGAACAATTTCAACTCCATGTTTTCTTCTGTACCTGGTAAGGAGAAAGGAAGATTCTAAAGTTAAAATGAGCTGGGCACGGTGGCTCACGTCTGTAATTCCAGCTGGAGTACAGTGGCTCACCGCAGCCTCGACCTCCTGGGCTCAGGTGAACCTCGCACTTCAGCCTCCCAAGTAGCTGAGACTATAGGCATGCGCCACCACACCTAGCTGAGTTTTTAAAATTTTAGTACAGACAAGGTCTCAGTATGTTGCCCAGGCTGGTCTGGATCTCCTGAGCTTAAGCAATCCTCCTGCCTTGGCCTCCCAAAGTGTTAAGATTACAGGCTCGGTGGGTTGCTGCACCCAGCCCAAACTATTTTCTTTTTCTCTTTTTTTTTTTTTTTTTTTTTTGAGGCAAAGTCTCGCTCTGCTCTCAGGCTGGAGTGCAGTGCTGGGGCACGATCTCTGTTACCCAGGTCTCTGTTGCTCACTGCAACCTCTGCCTCCCGGGTTTAAGCGATTCTCCCACTCTAGCTTCCTGAGCAGCTGGGACTACAGGCATGCGTCACCACGTCCGGCCAATTTTTGTATTTTTAGTAGAGATGGGGATTTCACTATGTTGGCCAGGCTGGTCTCAAACTCCTGACCTCAGGTGATCTGCCTGCCTCAGCCTCCCAAAGTGCTAGGATTACAGGCATGAACCACCATGCCTAGCTGCCAAAACTAATTTTCTTTTTTTTAGACGAAGTTTCACTCTTGTTGCCCAGGCTGGAGTGCAATGGAGTGATCTTGGCTCACCACAACCTGTGCCTCCTGGGCTCAAGCGTTTCTCCTGCCTCAGCCTCCCGAGTAGCTGGGATTACAGGCATGCGCCACCACACCCGGCTACTTTTTGTATTTTTAGTAGAGACGGGTTTTTCCATGTTGGTCAGGATGGTCTCGAACTCACAACCTCAGGTGATCCACCTGCCTCGGCCTCCCAAAGGGCTGGGATTACAGGTGTGAGCCACTGCACCCGGCCGGTTTTTTTTTTTTTTTTTTTTTTTGAGATGGAGTCTCGCTCTGTCACCCAGGCTGGAGTGCAATGGTGTGATCTCGGCTCACTGCTGCAACCTCTACCTTCCAGGTTCAAGTAACTCTCCTGCCTCAGCCTCCCAAGTAGCTGGGATTACAGGCACCCGCCACCAGGCCCGGCTAATTTTTTGTATTTTTAGTAGAGACGGAGTTTCACCATGTTGGCCAGGCTGGTCTCGAACTCCCGACCTCAGGTGATCCACCAGTCTCGGCCTCCCAAAGTACTGGGATTATAGGTGTGAGCCACTACGTCTGGCCCAAAACTATTTTTTAAAAGATATAAAATGCTCACAAGAGAACACTGTGAAAATCTCAGGACATGTAATTGTGTATATAGTATGATCTCATTTATTTACAAAGGTCTATATATGTGTTTAAATGCACATTATATAGCAAAATATAAACACTGGTTCTCAAGGTGGTAGAGTCATAGGTGATTTTAAAATTTTCTTTAAGAATGAGCATGTTACTTTTATGGGCAGAAAACAGCACTACAAAGTTGTTTAAAGATTAAAGTTTGGCTGTGAAGCTGACAGGAAAGGAGAGAGTGGCTGGGTGAAGAAACCGGGTTGAACAATGTTTTGCTTTTTTCGGATGGGAGGTATCTGAACATGACTAAATCTGGACGGACAGAGTTGGTGGAGAGGAAGAATTGGAAAAAGAGCAGAGGGCAGCTGGAGAGAGAGGAGGACACAGTGTCCTGAGTGGGAGATCAGACTCAGGAAAGGATGGACGAGCTTGTAGGTGTGATGAGAAATCAACTGAGGGAATTCTCTCATCAGTGGGTTCCCTTTTCCTGGAAAGAGGATGTTAAATCATCCACTGAGAGGAAGGAAGGACTGATGGGAGACTGAGAAGCATCAAGGCGTGAACCAGTCACCGTGGAAATGGAGGAGAAAGCTGACAGGAACCCGCTGGTCTGCACATATGTAACTTCTCCGTCAGCCTCAGCAGCTGGCACTGAGGTCACAAGGAACAGATGCATGAGCTGATCTGGGACCAAGATTCCTCCAGGTTGGGTGTGACAGAAGCAGCTCAGAAAAGGAACTGAAAAAATGGATCAGATGATCCTGACTTCTGTAATAAAGTTAAGTGGTACCCGCCTCTTTGACCACCACCACGGGGAAGTTAGCTACCAGGAAAGCTGTGTTACACTCTGCGCTTCCCAAGGGTCCTGGCCATTCTGCCTACCTGTGCGTCTGCAGAACAAGCAGTCAGTCAGTAGACTGAAAAGGTTTATGTTGTATCTATCTTAAAAATGTCTAGGCCGGGCGCGGTGGCTCAAGCCTGTAATCCTAGCACTTTGGGAGGCCGAGACAGGCGGATCACGAGGTCAGGAGATCGAGACCATCCTGGGTAACACAGTGAAACCCCGTCTCTACTAAAAATACAAAAACTTAGCCGGGCGAGGTGGCAGGCGCCTGTAGTCCCAGCTACTCGGGAGGCTGAGGCAGGAGAACGGCGTAAACCCGGGAGGCGGAGCTTGCAGTGAGCTGAGATCCGGCCACTGCACTCCAGCCTGGGTGACAGAACGAGACTCCGTCTCAAAAAAAAAAAAAAAGTCTTACCTGCTCTTGAGCATCTACTTCACTAAAATCGCCGTTTAAGTTGTTCTCAGATATCAGTTCTTCCCAGGTGAACAGCAGTGAATCTGTGACTTCGCCAAATGGATTAAAATCAATGAGCCACACCTTCCCCTGTAGCACAGAGAGAGAAAAAACAAAAACAAACGCAGTCTGTACTCTGTCTTCTGAGAAAGAAACGTGTTTTTATTCTGAGACAGGCTCTCATGCTGTTGCCCAGGCTGCAGCGCAGTGGTGTGATCACAGCTCACTGCAGCCTCGACCTCCTGGGCTCAAAGGATCCTCTTGCCTCAGCCTCCTGAGTACCTGGGACTACAGGCATGCGCCACCACATGCAGCTAATTTTTGTGTTTTCTTAGAGGACAGGGTCTCGCCATGTTGCCCAGGCTGGTCTTGAACTCTTGGGTTCAAGCGATCCTCTCACCTCAGCCTCCCAAAGTGCTGGGATTATAGACATGAGCCACGTCACCTGGCCAGAAAGATATTCTTCATATTATTGTAATCTTAAAAATCTCACTTATTTCAAAAGATCATCCCTCTAAGTCCCATCTGAGAAAGGGCCGCCTGTCTGAATAGAGTAGACAGAGATCTAAAGGGAGGGCCCCCTGTGAATTTAGAGAGAAGGGACCCAGAAAAGCTCTGCCTAAGAGATACGTTCCAACTCCAGCCTCAAGCCACATGGAATTTTAAGTCAAAGATTCTAGCAGGGCCGGGCACAGTGGCTCACACCTATAATCCCAGCACTTTGGGAGCCTGAGGTGGACAGATCACTTGAGCTTAGGAGTTCAAGACCAGCCTGGGCAACATGGTGAAACCCCATCTCTACAGAAAAATATATAAAAATTAGCTGAGGCTGGGTGCGGTGGCTCACGCCTGTAATCCCAGCACTTTGGGAGGCCGAGACGGGTGGATCACGAGGTCAGGAGATTGAGACCATCCTGGCTAACACGGTTAAACCCTGTCTCTACTAAAAATACAAAAAATTAGTCTGGCGTGGTGGCGGGCGCCTGTAGTCCCAGCTACTCGGGAGGCTGAGGCAGGAGAATGGCGTGAACCCGGGAGGTGGAGCTTGCAGTGAGCCGAGATTGCGCCACTGAACTCCAGCCTGGGCGACAGAGTGAGACTCTGTCTCAAAAAAAAAAAAAAATTCGCTGAATGTGGTGGCACACGCCTGTAGTCCCAGCTACGCAGGGGGCTGAGGTAGGAGGATCACTTGAGCTCAGGAGGTCAAGGCTGCTGTGAGCCGTGATCACAACACGCGCTCCATCTACCCTGGGTGACAAAGCAAGACTGTGTCTCCCAAAAAAAAAAAATTCCAGCAGGAAAGGGAACGGTCACCCAAAGGCTTAGGTCTGTGTCTGACTAAAGCGCCTTCCCGGAGCCTTCAGTGCTCCGTTCAGGGGCAGCCAGACAGAGCCAGGCAGTGCCTGCGGCTCCAGAGAGCAGCGCTTCTGACTCAGGAAGGTCTGCTGCCAAGAATGGATTTTTTTTTTTTTTACCATATGCAAGTATGAAGACGCTGCTTCCTTTCTTTTTTTTTTTTTTGAGAATCTCACTCTGTTGCCCAGGCTGGAGTACAGTGGTGTGATCTTGGCTCACTGCAACCTCCGCCTCCTAGGTTCAAGTGATTCTCCTGCCTCAGCTCCCGAGTAGCTGGGATTACAGGCATGCGCCACTATGCTTGGTTAATTTTTGTATTTTTACTAGAGATAGGGTCTTACCATGTTGGCGATGGTCTGGTCTCAAACTCCTAACCTCAAATGTCCTCCCGCCTTGGCCTCCCTGTGAGCCACCCTGCCCAGCCTGAAGATGCAGTTTTCTTTCTATGTGAATGTAGTAAGTCTGTAGAATAGAGCTTGACAGCATATGAAGGGGAGGTTGGCCTCTGAGCAGAAAACAGCCAGTACTGACACGCAGAGAGCAGAGGCGCATGGGCCACACCGCCAGGAATGACGGCCACGGCGTCTGATCACGAACACCTATTGACACGAAGTGGATGGAGCAAAGATAAACCTTTTCCCACTGAAACATTCATACATTTGCGCCGTTTGGTTAACAATGAATGTTCTTTTTCTATAAATGTGTTGCCGCCAGGTCCTGAGCGTGTGTGTGCATGAAATTCCAAGCACCAAGACCGCTGAGCCAGCATGCCTAATATCTGGTGCTGCTTCTCAGCTGAGCGAGAGCAAAATGTTAAGAAAGATGAAACATCTTATTAGGACTTGCTTCAAATTCCAGAACCTCTAGTAAGTGGCATAAGCCTGTCGCAGGATGCTTTCAGCACACCCAGTTGGGTAAGTTCCTCGTTTTCTACGAGCCCCAGGAGATGCCCTGCAAATCTCTCTCACTGCTTGAGTTGTTTCCTCATCTCCGTTTAGCACCCACTTCTTCATTCCTGGAACTATGTGAAACAGTATCAGCCATCAAACAACTTCTTCGTAATGATGTCAACTTCATTTTGGCGAATACTGCTAAGATGTCTTCAATATATGTCATGATAACAAAATGGATATTTTCTAACTTCCAAACCCTTTCTACTTGACTTATTTATTTATTTATTTATTTATTTTGAGACAGAGTCTCGCTCTGTCACCCAGGCTGGAGTGCAGTGGCGTGATCTCTGCTCACTGCAACCTCCGCCTCCCAGGTTCAAGTGATTCTCCTGCCTCAGCCTCCCGAGTAGCTGGGACTACAGGCGTCCACCACCACACCTGGCTAATTTTTTGTATTTTTAGTAGAGATGAGGTTTCACAGTGTTAGTCAGGATGGTCTCCATCTCCTGACCTCATGATCGGCCTGGCTTCGTCTCCCAAAGTGTTGGGATTACAGGTGTGACCCACTGTGCCCAGCCCCTACTTGGCTTTTTATAATCAGTAAAACGAACTCATTATTTTATTATTATTTTTTTTTTTTTTTTTGCGAGTCTCGCTCTGTCGCCAGCTGAGTGCAGTGGCGCTATCTCCTCACTGCCTCCGGTCTCGCCATTCTCCTCAGCCTCCGTAGCTGGACTACAGCGCCCCCACCTCGCCTGGCTAATTTTTTTTATTTAGTAGAGACGGGTTTCATTGTGTTAGCCAGGATGGTCTCGATCTCCTGACCTCGTGATCCGCCCGTCTCGGCTCCCAAAGTGCTGGATTACAGCTTGAGCCACCGCGCCCGGCCCATTATTTTTTTTAAACTATCACATCTTTAATATAGGAATATGCCACAATGCAAAAAACCAAAACACATTTTTTCCTTTTTTTTTCTGAGACACAGTTTCACTCTTGTGGCCCAGGCAGGAGTGCAATGGTGTGATCTCACCTCACCACAACTTCCCCTTCCTGGGTTCATGCAATTCTCCTGCCTCCACCTCCCAAGGAGCTGGGACTACAGGCATGCGCCACCATGCCCAGCTAATTTTCTATTTTTGGTTGAGACTGGGTGTCACCATGTTGGTCAGGCTGGTCTCCAATTCTTAAACTCAGGTGATCCGCCCACCTTGGCCTCCTAAAGTGCTGAGATTACAGGCATTAGCCACTGCACCCGGCCCAAAACACATTTTTTTTTTTTTTTTTGAGACGGAGTCTCGCTCTGCCCCCCAGGCTGGAGTGCAGTGGCCGGATCTCAGCTCACTGCAAGCTCCGCCTCCCGGGTTCACGCCATTCTCCTGCCTCAGCCTCCCGAGTAGCTGGGACTACAGGCGCCCGCCACCTCGCCCGGCTAGTTTTTTGTATTTTTTAGTAGAGACGGGGTTGCACTGTGTTAGCCAGGATGGTCTCGATCTCCTGACCTCGTGATCCACCCGTCTCGGCCTCCCAAAGTGCTGGGATTACAGGCTTGAGCCACTGCGCCCGGCCCAAAACACATTTTTAAATGAAAACAAACCACCACTTTGATTGGCAGTGTACTCTGTAGCTCACAAGCTATCCTCTAGTACAAAAAAATGAGGAAGTAAAAAAAAACCCAGCTATAATCAGGCTTTAATAAAGTAGGAGGATCAGGATCAAGATTTTATAACTTTTTTTTTTTTTGAGACGGAATCTTGCTCAGTTGCCCAGGCTGGAGTGCAGTGGCATGATCTCTGCTCACTGCAAGCTCCGCCTCCCAGGTTCACGCCATTCTCCTGCCTCAGCCTCCCAAGTAGCTGGGACTACAGGCGCCCGCCGCCACACCCGGCTAATTTTTTGCATTTTTTAAAAATACAGACGGGGTTTAACCGTGTTAGCCAGGATGGTCTTGATCTCCTGACCTCGTGATCCGCCCACCTCAGCCTCCCAAAGTGCTGGGATTACAGGTGTGAGCCACCGTGCCCAGCCATAACTTTTTTTTTGAGACAGAGTCTTGCCCTGTTTTTGTGAGTACAGTCGCGTGATCTCAGCTCATTGCAACCTCCTCCTCCTGGGCTCAAGTGATCCTCCTGCCTCAACCTCCCAAGTAGCTGGGATTACAGGCACCTGCCACTGTGCCTGACTAATTTCTGTATTTTTAGTAGAGATGGGGTTTCACCATGTTGGCCAGGCTGGTCTTGAGCTCCTGACCTCAGGTGATCTGCCTGCCTCAGCCTCCTAAAGTGCTGGGATTACAGGCATGAGCCACCACGCCCAGCCATAACATGTTTTCACATGACATCTCAAGCAAAAACAGCCTGAGAAGTTAATTCTGCTTTGAGGCAATCCAATAAGCAAAGAGCAGTGGGACTAACTGTCCCTTTACCAACTGACTGTCCCCCTATCCCTATCAAGCTGTAGGGACCAGACACTGTGTTAGGCACTAGGGTATGAAGATGGTAACACAGAATCGATTCCTTCCAAGAGCTCAGGCTTGAGCAGAACACACATCTCCTCCCCAAAACAGAACCAAAAACCATTCAACAATGGCAATGTGCAGGGTATTTTGCTTCGAGAGAAGCAAGAACAGGGAATTGTGAGAGTGGAGAGGCACAAAGGAGAGTGTGCCTACATGTGCGAGGGAAGGCTGGAAACGCTTCCCAAAGGACCTGGGCACCTGAGGGATAACAGCGATGCTCTGGGAGGAAGGTGGTGTTGGCAGGAAAAGCGGACTACTTAACAAGAACGGCAGCGCTCATGTGCAGAGGCCACGCCACGACCGCCCGTTGTGGGAACAGGTTATTTTGGCTGGAGTGTGAGATATGTGAGGGCTCCAGAAACACAGCCAGCTATGGTAACTCTCAAGGCCTGCTATTCCAAACAGGATGAAACACATGCTATGACACGCCCTTTAAAAGTGTAATTGAGATTATGAGAAAGACCAGGAAATCCCCAGGGGCCAGAAACAAGAAGAACCCGAAGAACAGAACTAAACGAATCAACTCTAGTGCCGTGGGAACCTGTGGGAGGGTCTTCTAGCAGACTGGTCACGGGAAGGGAATCAGAACTCAGACGCCAACTCCAGAAGGCCACAGCCTCAGGAAAGGGGTGTGAGGAGACAGTTCTAACGGAGGGGCAGGAGACAATGACATTGTCCTCTGAATAAGTTTTGGGGAACATGGTAGAAGCAAATGAAAAATCCAAAATTTAGGATCTTTGGGATTCTCATTAAAAAAAGGACAAGCTCACTGAAGACGAACTCAAAGTAAAATAAACTGATTTTCAAAACAAAAAAGAAACAACCAGCCCGAACGAGAGTCTGCAAACGCAACAGGGATTAACGCCCTAAGAACTTGGGAAATCATCATCAATCTGAAGGACAGTCTAATATAAATATAAAAATATTGGTGCAGACAAAAAGACTAAGGGTGATCCATACCGCATACCAAACACGCAAAGGAACGAACACCAAACAGACCCAATATTGAAATGGAGAACAAGAAATTACAAAAGAACTAGACAAAAACCATGGGGAAGTATTTTTTTAAATGATGACTAAAATTCAAAAGCCAGAAAAGAAGCAAATAATATAGGTGATCTTGTTTGCAGGAAAAGATTAATGACAAAGGCCTCTGTAATACCTAAACAGTGCCTCTATTTTGAGGAAAATAATAGAAAAAAGTGAAAAAGACACGAAGCAATGGTTCATAGAAACAACCCTTAAATATACGAAAAGATAAACTTCATCCTCATTTACTAAGAAAAATAGAAATAGAAAGTATACTGAAACATCATTTCTCTATGAAACCCCAAAACCCTGAAGAGTGTGACCCTATATTGTAATGGCAAGCTCAGAGGAAGCCTGCAAGTACTCTGATGCATTCCCGGGGGGATCTGGTCAGATGTAACCTCTAGGGAGGGTAAACTGCAGTATCTGTCAACATTAAAATTCATTTCACTTTTGAGCCAGCAATCCCGCTTCTAGGAATTCACCCTGTAGATTCACCTGCAGCGTGGGAAATGACACACGTACGGGATTATTCACCATGGCAGTCTGCAGAAGACCAGACACAACCTGGTGTACACTGATAGGCATGACAGTTATGATCATGGCTCACTGCAGCCTCAACCTCCCAGTCTCAAGCGATCCTCCCAACTCAGCTCCCAGGAGGAGCTGGGGCTAGAGGCACAAACCACCACACCTGGCTCATTTTTACGTAGAGATGAGGTCTCACTATGTTCAGCCCAGCTCATCTCGAACTCCTGGGCTCAAGCCATCCTCCCACCTCAGCTTCCCAAAGTGCTGAAAATACAGGCGTGAGCCACCACAATGGCCTAAAGCCCCTCTTTCTAGTAACTCTTGACACCATCATCTTTGAAGACAATGAGGTGAAAATAGAGTGATGTCTTCTGACGTAAGCGTTAAATGAACAGTTAACAGTTATTCTGGGACATGACCATATGGGCCATATCTTTTTGTCCAAAGATGATTTAAAGATGTCCAAAGGTGGCCGGGCGCGGTGGCTCAAGCCTGTAATCCCAGCACTTTGGGAGGCTGAGACGGGCGGATCACGAGGTCAGGAGATCGAGACCATCCTGGCTAACACGGTGAAACCCCGTCTCTACTAAAAAATACAAAAAACTAGCCGGGCGAGGTGGCGGGCGCCTGTAGTCCCAGCTACTCGGGAGGCTGAGGCAGGAGAATGGCGTAAACCCGGGAGGCGGAGCTTGCAGTGAGCTGAGATCCGGCCACTGCACTCCAGCCTGGGCGGCAGAGCGAGACTCCGTCTCAAAAAAAAAAAAAGATGTCCAAAGGTGATTCAGATCAAATGACTGTCTCACTTACAATGAGGCTGCTCTAAGCACGGAGGGGAAGTGAGAAATATTCTGCTCGTGTGTTGTGACACACGGGAAAACGCATCTCCTAGCTTCTTCACAATGTCAAAGAGCACTCAGCACCAAACAGCATTTAGTGACTTAAACTTCTTAATAAAGATGACATGTCTGGGGCAGTGAAATCTCTGCTCTAGTAATTCTTCATTAAGTCAGCAGTACGTAAGTTTACTAATAAGTCACTTTAACTTTTTCCTTACAGAAGTTTTCATCACTTTCAAGATTTAAAAAATAAACTAATCCTCTTCTGTCTAAAAATAAAACTAACTCAAACTCTGAGTCACTTTTAAAATAATAATAATTATTATTATTATTATTTTTTGAGACAGCGTTTTGCTCTTGTTGCCCAGGCTGCAGTGCAATGGTGCGATCTCGACTCACTGCAACCTCCACCTCCCGGTTCAAGCGATTCTCCTGCCTCAGCTTCCCGTGTAGCTAGGATTACAGGCATGCGCCACCATGCCTGGCTAATTTTGTATTTTTAGTAGAGATGGGGTTTTTCTATATTGGTCAGGCGGGTTTCGAACTCCCCATCTCAGGTGATCTGCCTGCCTTGGCCTCCCAAAGTGCTGGGATTACAGGCCTGAGCCACCGCACCCAGCCAAAATAATTATATAAATATCAAGTGGCCAACTCCTGGCCGCATTTAAGTGTGCAAACTGAACTATTTTAAGCAGGCCCTGACCTCGGACACAAATGAGAAGTAGGATGGAAGGTGCCCATTTACCGACCGGCTCGATAAAGAATCCCTAAATCATGGTACACAATGATTTCAGGTATTAAGTCCCCTAATGTTAGGTATATTTTAAGGGGAGATTTTTGACCATGGTGAATTTCAAACACCTTAGTTGGTGTGAGGGAAAAAAAAAAATTTGAGGAGGGGATGGGGTCTCACTCTGCCACCCAGGCTGGAGAGCAGTGGCGCAACAAAGGCTCACTGCAGCCGTGAATTCCTGGGCTCAAGGGATCCTCCCAGCTCAGCCTCTTGCATAACTGGGACTACAGGCACACACCACCAGGCCTGGATATTTTTTTTTTCTCTTTTGAGGCAGAGTCTCGCTCTGTTGCCCAGGCTGGAGCGCAATGGCGCAATCTCGGCTCACTGCAACCTCTGCCTCCTGAGTAGCTGGGATTATAGGCACCCACCACCATGCCTGGCTCATTTTTTTGTATTTTTAGTAAAGATGGGGTTTCACCATGTTGGCCAAGCTGATCTCGAACTTGTGACCTCAAGTGATCCTCCTGCCTCAGCCTCCCAGAGTGCTGGGGTTACAGGGGTGAGCCACTGTGCCTGGCCTGGGCTGATTTTTTTTTATTTTTAGTAGAGATGAGGTCTCACTATGTTGCCCAGGCTAGTCTCAAACTCCTGAGCTCAAATGATGTCCCTGCCTCAGCCTCCCAAAGTGCTGGGAATACAGGCGTGAGCTGCTGCACCCAGACAAAATATTTTTTGAGCAGTAGATCCTTCATACACATAGCAAAGGCATGCTCTGCCTGCTTATAAAACCAGCTCTTATTTTAAAGCATATCAGACAGAGTTTTTACTTACCCTACTGTCTCTGTATATATCGAACACAACTGTAAAGGAGAAAAAAAGTCCGTTATTAATGAACTAATATTTCATGATGTAAATCTCCTTTTGAAAATTAAAGTATGTTTTAATCAAAGACAACAGAATATAAATGACCCTGAGGACTTAATGCTTCTAAATCTCAAAACTTCAAACATAAAAAGGCATCCTGCCATGTTTTATTTATATAACTTTGCTTTACTGTTCTCTGTTCCCCAACCATAATCCCCTATATTTAAAAATTCAAACCAAACACCAACATCATCTCAACCAGTTCCCCATCATAGACCGGTTCTATGGGAATGACGGGAGGAGTCACTGAGCAAAGTACTGGTGAAAGGGGCATCAATCACTGATCCGGGAGAATGCAATGAGCAAAGCTTATAATAGAAAGCAGAAAATCGAATGAGGCCTGAAGCATGATTCATCTTATTTTAAATCAAATCTGCCACAGAGCCCAGTCTTGGCAAGTAGAGAAAATGTCAATCATAGCAGATATAATTTTCAGATGTATGAAAACTCTCACACAATATACTTTCAATTCCTAAAAACAACCCACAAATGTTTACTTTGTAACTGGTGCTGTCTTTGATCATTCAGAGAAGCTGGAAAGGTAGATGGGACTTTGTTCTCTGTAGACAGCCCCTTTGAAATATACAGTCAAACATCTAAAATAAGAGGGGGAACTGACTTCGCAGTAAAAATAAATTTTAGTTAAGTAAGATGAAATTAACATGGCTGGTGTGGTGGCTCACACCTGTAATCCCAGCACACTGGGAGGCTGAAGTAGGCGGATCACTTGAGGCCAGGAGCTCAAGACCAGCCTGGCAAACATGGCAAAATTCCATCTCTACTAAACATACAAAAAATTAGTCGGGTGTGGTGATGTGCACCTGTAGCCCCAGCTACTTGGGAGACTGAAGCAGGAGAATCACCTGAACCCAAGAGATGCAGGCTGCGTGAGCCAAGATCGTACCACTGCACTCCAGCCTGGGTGACAGAGTGAGACTGTCTCCAGATAAAAAAAATAATAATAAGAAGAAGAAATTAACATACAAACTATCAAAAATAACAAATAATAATACAGTAAAATACTTAAAATACAGTATTTCAAATCTAGTTATTAGGATATACACCATAGTAAATAAGGTCCAGCAACACTGTATATTTCATTTCATTTTACTGGATCAATAAAAAAATACTCACAGTCTTCATCTAAGAATTTGTACTGTATGTGTTTCTTGAAAAAGTCTTGTATACATCTGCAAATTTCTTCCTTTTGTTTAGAAATATGATCATAGTATTGTGTGTAGTCTCTTTGAGAAATACCTGACAAGAAAATATTTTACATTCTGTTATTATACAATATTCTTTTCAAAAACATCAATACGTGATTTAAACATTTTGTGGAAAGAACCATTAAAGTAGATTAGAAGATCACCCGGATGGGTACTGCATTACACACGACCCAGCTGTAAGGATTCATATGAACAGGGGAATCCTGAAGTACTACACTGCCGTGTCTTCTTACTTCTGGAAGAATTTACTGTTTTTTTTTTTTTTTGAGACAGTCTCACTCTATCGCCCAGGCTGGAGTGCAGTGGCATGATCTCGGCTCACTGCAACCTCTGCTGCCCAAGTTCAAGCGATTCTCCTGCCTCAGCTCCCGAGTAGTTGGGATTACAGACACCTGCCACCGCGCCTGGCTAATTTTTTTTTTGGTATTTTTAGCAGAGACGGTCTTTCACCATCTTGGCCAGGCTGGCCTTGAATTTGATCTCATGATCCACCCACCTCGGCCTCTCAAAGTGCTGGGATTACAGGTATAAGCCACCACACTCGGCCTTTTTTCTTTTTTTCTTTTTTCTTTTAGAGACAGGGTCTCATTCTGTTGCCCAGGCTGGAGTACAGTGGCACAATCATAGCTTATCACAACCTCCACCTCCTGAGCTCAAGTGACCCTCACACCTCAGTCTCCCGAGTAGCCGGGACTACAGGCATGTGCCACCATGCCTGGCTCATGGTTTTATTTTTTGTAGAGACGGGGTCTCAGTACATTGCCCAGGCTGGTCTTGAACTCCTGGCCTTAAGCAATCCTCCAGCCTTGGCCTCTCAAACTGTTGGGATTACAGGTGTGAGCCACACCACCTAGCCCATGGAAAGAGTTATTTTCATTTAGTAAAATGGAAGGAATTCGAAGTCACAAAAAGTCTTGTTATGTAAAAAATTAAAGCAGCAATTCTAAGCCCGCACACGTAATCGACTGCTGCTGCTTTGATTTCCTCCAAAGAAGTCTCTGCAAATTGGTATACTCTTCCACTTTCCTCGGGAAAACAGCATTCTTCACCAGATGCCTGCCATATTCAGACTGTATCGCCTAGAAGCAGTCTGTTTTTCTTGTTCATACGTGCTACTTGGCCTTCACAGCCTGCTCGTTCAAGCCATGGAAAAGTAAACATTCCTTTTTTCAGAGTGACTTGCTGACATGAGTCCAAACACACTAACGGGACTATTACACAAACTCCCTGAATTTGCTCCGGTCCTAGGGAAAAGTTCTCTAGGAAAAAAAGTTCTGAAATTCGGGCTTCCTATTCCTCAGTCATGTGCCAACAGGACCCCCTTCTTTAGAGCACCTACACTGCAGCTTCCCCAAGAACATCGAGCAATATGAGAAGTGCGAACACCCCAACTTTCTTTCAGGTGGGTTAACACATTTCAACATCACATTCAATGAATCAATATTGCTGATTTGATTGCATTCAAATTACACTTTTCTCGGTTGAAGATAAATTTTACTTCATGGAAAACATGCATAAACAAAATAAAGAACGAATTATCTTCAATATTTCACTTAAATAAATCATAGCAAACAAAATAGTAACCTGAGAGGAAAGAAAATGGGTGTCTTAGAAGAATACACTTACTTGTCCACATATTTTCTCTTGCTAGAATAATAAATAGTGCCCCAATAATAGAAATAAAGGTTCCAAAACTTGACTTTTTATGACGCTTAAAATAAGCAGACTATTGCTAAGTACTGTTTAGGAAAATTCCATACAGAGTTCCTGATTCCTAAATCAACCACCACTTTTATCTCTGGAATCCAGCCAGCCATGATTATCTGACAACACCGTTTCCTGTGGCAAGTGAATCTGGGCTCGGGATTCCTGTCAACACGGCATTCCAGAGAGTCAGTACCAACTGGTTAGAGGTGGCATCTGAGATGAAAACAGATTGACATCCCAGTCCTAATTACTGGAAATTTACTTCCAACAAAAGCTTGTCTTCTTTTAAAGATGACTTTCAAGGATAAAACAAACAAAAAAAACTCACCAATAAGCTTGTTTTCCTTGACAAAACATCGAAACTCAGCGCCAGGAATCAATTCACACCATTTTCGGAGAACAAGCTGTAGACAAAGGACAAAATATTTAATATAACACAACCATATGGTAAGGTCTATTAGGCAATTTTAGGTCAACACTGTATCTTAATGATTGCCGTTATCAAATGGTTTTTAAAAAAGAGGCATCATATAACATTCTTGGCTGGGCATGGTGGCACATGCCTGTCAGCTACTCAGGAGGCTGAGGAAGGAGAATCACTTGAACCCAGGAGGCGGAGGTTGTAGTGGGCAAAGATCACGCCATTGCACTCCAGCCTGGACAACAAGAGTGAAACTCCATCTCAAAAAAAAAAAAAAATTCTTAACATGAGATGTAGGGAATAGAGTTGTGATCTATTATTCTAATAACCGCAAGAAAATTGTGCTAAAATTCTATGACAAAATGCATCCTTGTCAGGTAGCTGCCATTTTGAGAGTTCTGACATACAAGCACACCATCAAGAATGTAGTTACATCTTTTCATCACAGTGCCATATGTCCATTCATATGTTCTGCACCCCTTGAGGAATATCAAATAATAAAGTAATTCCAGCCAGGCGCAGTGGCTCACTCCTGTAATCCCAGCACTTTGGGAGGCTGAGGCGGGCAGATCACCTGAGGTCAGGAGTTAGAGATCAGCCAGGCCAACATGGTGAAACTCCATCTCTAAAAAAAAAAAAAAAAAAAAAAAAAAAAAAAAAAAAAAAAAAAAAAAAAAAAAAATACTGCCATACTGGACTGAAAATCACCATCTAGCAGATGCCACTGCACTCCAGCTGGCATAGGCAGACCCTCAAAAAAAAAAAAAAAAAAAAAAAAAAAAAAAAAAAACAAAAAAATTAGCCAGGCGTGGTGGCAGGCACCTGTAGCCCCAGCTGCTAGGGAGGCTGAGACATGAGAATCGCTTGAACCCAGGAAGCAGAGGCTGCAGGGAGCTGAGACTGCATCACTGCACTCTAGCCTGGGCAACAGAGCAAGACGCTATCTCAAAAATAAAATAAAATAATTCTAAACTTGTCTACCTTAAGTACCAAGAGGTAATCCTTACTTTGATATAATTATTATTGAGGTTTGTCACAATGAATCACCAAAACAACTCTCTCACTATTTTCTCAATATTTTAGTTAATCAATTCTACCCTTGGCCCAAATCACAAATGGGTCTTATTACTGTAATTAATAATTATTTAATATATATAAACTCTCATATACTATAGTAATAAGTTTCTCATCTTAAAAATCAGGAAAATTTCAGGTGGGACATTTTATGTATTTAAAAAAACATGTTTAAAATATGCCTTAGAAATTTTAAATGCACTGATTTCATTTTTCATTTATTATAAGCTCTTAGTCAAGCCTTATTATCTGATTTTTTTTAATGTAATTATTAAATGGATCTGACACTAAAATATTACACAGTTCCTATCTATTAAAAGCCCATACAGGCATATACACACATACTTTTTTATATATATATATAGAGAGAGAGAGAGAGAAAGAGAGAGGCTACAGTGGTTTTACTTAGCAACAAATAAATAAGCAATTGTAGCACACAATTTACTGGAAAATTTGCATAAGGTTTATCAAAATACTATTTTGTATAGGTAATACATACACTCTGGTTGATTTTCACAAAACACAGAAAGGCATAGGGAGTTTCTCTCTCTCCCCCACCCTGTCCCTCTGTCTTTCTCCTCAGAGGCAACCAGTGCTATAGGTTTCTTGTGCATCTTTCCAGATTTATCCTACAAATACATAACTATATATATAGAGAGAAAGAGTGTGAGTGAGTGTGTGTGTGTGTGTGTGTGTATTTTAAATACACACAGACAGGAGAAAACAATACACAGGATTCTACTTGCAACTTTTTTTATTTGAATTACTTGAAGAGTATCACTTTCCTACACTTTTAAAATTGAGTTTTAAATCTTATACACATGATAATGGTGTCTTTCAAAATGGCAATAAGAGAGCAAACTGCTGGTAAATAAATCTTGGAGGTAGATGATGACTTCTTTTTTTTTTTTTTTTTTTGAGACGGAGTCTCGCTCTGTCACCCAGGCTGGAGTGCAGTGGCCAGATCTCAGCTCACTGCAAGCTCCGCCTCCCAGGTTCACGCCATTCTCCTGCCTCAGCCTCCCGAGTAGCTGGGACTATAGGCGCCCGCCACCTCGCCCGGCTAGTTTTTTGTATTTTTAGTAGAGACGGGGTTTCACCGTGTTAGCCAGGATGGTCTCGATCTCCTGACCTCGTGATCCGCCCGTCTTGGCCTCCCAAAGTGCTGGGATTACAGGCTTGAGCCACTGCGCCTGGCCAGATGGTGACTTCTTAAAAAAGACTGTGACTCAGAGAAAGGCTAAGGAAATGATCTCTTTCTAGCACCTGGCAGAAGCACCACAGCCAGGTACTTAATAGTTGTTTATTGTGTGAAGCAATCGCTATGACTATATTATTTAAAGTTATAGAAGTGTTTAATAAGCTGGGAAAATGCTCACACTATGCTATTAAGCAAGGGAAAAAAAATCTCACAGATTGTATGTAAGAATCTCACCTACAAGCACTCTAAGATCTAGTAATTGGTGGCTTGGTAAGAAGTCACTTAACTAGTAAATTAACTGCTCCATGCCTACAGTATAATCCTAAAAGAGAAGTCTATCTACAGTCAACACATTAAAAATTACTCAACACAGTGAGTCAACAGACCAATTTTGAAAGCATGTGTACATATGTACAAAAGTAGCTAGAAGCAAACAGACACTAAAGATATATTTTTAAAATTACTGCACTAATTCGAATTGGTGTTACAAGACCAACAATGAAATGTAATTTTCACGTAAATGTAAAAATGCAATTATGGAGCAAAGATGACCATTCTCTTTTCAACAAACTATGAGTTGTCAAAGTTTTGGAAAGTTTGTATTTTGACAATGCAAGTGCAAGAAGGACCAGGAATGAGAGCTGAAACGTGGAGTCTGCATTTAGAAGAAAGTTAGGCCGGGCGCAGTGGCCCACGCCTGTAATCCCAGCATTTTGGGAGGCTGAGGCAGGCGTTTCACTTGAGGTCAGGAGTTCGAGACCATCCTGGTCAACATGGTGAAACCCAGTCTCTACCAGAAATACAAAAATTAGCTGGGTGGTGGTGGTGCACACCTATAATCCCAGCTACTCAGGAGGCTGAGGCAGGAGAATTGCTTTAGTCCAGGAGGTGGAGGTTTCAATGAGCTGAGATCGTGCCACTGCACTCCAGCCTGGGCAACAGAGCAAAACTTTGTCTCCAAAAAAAAAAAAAAAGTTATGTTTCGGATCCATTCACGACAGTTGATGAGCAGTTAGTTGTAGCTAAGAACCTGGTGCAGATCAGGGTATGTGCGTGTGTGTTTTGTGTGTATACTTTCAAAACTAGGAAAATTTGGAATAAAAATTGAGGTTTACTACGTTTAAACTCATCAAAATTTCTAATGAAGTTGTTTTTTCACCATGCTCTTTTTTTTTTTGAGACAGAGCTTCACTCTTGTCACCCAGGCTGGAGTGCAATGGCACCATCTCAGCTCACTGCAACCTCCACCTCTAGGGTTCAAGCAATTCTTCAGCCTCAATTTCCCGAGTAGCTAAGATTACAGGCGACCACTACCATGCCCAGATTAACTTTGGTATTTTTAGTAGAGACATGGGGTTTCGCCATGATGGCCGGGCTGGTCTCGAACTCCTGACCTCAGATGATGCGCCCACCTTGGCCTCTCAAAGTGCTGGGATTACAGGCATGAGCCACTGTGCCTGGCCTATCCTCTTATTCTTATAAGTTATTTGTAAGGTGAGTGAACAGTATAAAAAATGGTAAAATGCTGAAACAATGAGGTGCAGCTGTGCAGCGTAAAAAGGTGTTTGTTTTGTTAAAGGTGTCTGCATATATCCTGTAGCAAGTGTATACTGCATACATATATTTAGTATATATATTCTATACATAATATATATCCTTTTATGTGTATATTTCATAAATGTAAAATTTCAGTGGCTTTAGGTTCCCAAAGAAATTAATCCAAGAAACTTCATTCGTTTCATTTCACTTAAGAATAAATAGCAATTCTCAACACATCTTAATCTACGATTATCAAGGAAAATAAGCTTCTTACCTCATATTCTATACATGGATCTGGAGAATCATCAGTACAATGAATAAACCTTTGGAAGAAGAAAAGGCAAATGAATCTCTTTGTTACTGGTGTCAGTTTATGCACACACGTAACTTATATTTAACATGAAAGTAACGTTTTACTAAAAGCATCCAGAAACAGGAGACTAACTCAAATTCGATCAACATTTATTAAGCCTTATTCAATGCTATGCGTTAGCCTAGGCACCCTGAGATATTAACTCATTTAATCCTCAAAACAATGTTATGAGCAAGACTGTACTTTCCAGGATCATTTCTACAGTTGGTCTAGTATTTGATAGCACAATAGGGTGACTATAGTCAACAACGATTTAATGGTACATTTTAAAATAACTAGAGTATAACTGAATCATTTGTAACACAAAGGATGGATAAATGTTTTGAGGGGAACAGATACCCCATTTTACATGATGTGATAATTGGGCATAGCCTGTTTGTATCAAAACATGCAATGTACCCCAGGATGGGTGCAGTGGCTCACAGCTATAATCCCACCACTTTGGGAGGCCAAGGCAGGTGGATCACTTGAGGTCAGGAGTTTGACTCCAGCCTGGCCAACATGGTGAAACCCTGTCTCTACTAAAAATACAAAAATTAGCCGGCTGAGGTGGTGGACGCCTGAAAACCCAGCTACTTCAGAGGCTGAGGCAGGGGAATCGCCTAAAACTGTGAGGCAGAGGTTGCACTGAGCCAAGATAGCACCACTGAACCCCAGCCTGGGCGACAGAATGAGACTCCATCTCAAAAAAACCCCAAAAAGCAAAAAACACCCATCTCATGTACTGCATGAATATATACACTTACTATGTACCCACAAACATTAAAATAAACAATGTTAGGAGCTATTATAACCACAGACATAGTATAATCTCCATTTTTTCTGTCAAAAGCCAAAGAAACTAATACCCAGAAAAGCCCAAATTTAGTGGCCACACCAAGACTCAACCTGTCTAACCCCCGATTCTCAACAAGGGGAGGAAGGCACTGTCATTGTACACGTTCCTGTTGCGTGCATCTTATACTGCAGCCAGCAGCCTACTTCTCCCTCCATGTAACGCTGGCCATCGAAAGCCACACAGGTAATCGAATCCGTCTCCCACGTGCCATTTTAAAACTCGGATAGATCCATTCAGCCCTCCATTAAGTACACTGCTTCCTCCTCTAAAACTCCTCAGTTTCATCAACAATGTTTCATATCGCTTACTAAATGCCCACCTGTGCCAAAGCTTGGGCTAGGCATTGGGAATGTTAAAATGATGAAGACTCCTTCGTTCTGTACGGGGTCAGTCTGGTGGAGAAAGCTAAAAAGCACACACAATTTTAAACACACTGGAGAAAAAATGCTCCGCGGCACCAAGGAAGAACTGACTGGCTGGCTGCTGTGTGTCAGAGGGGAGCGGTAGTCAAGAAGGGGTCCGCATTTAAAGCACAGAGAAACGTGCCAAGGCAGGGAGGGCAGTGAGAGACCTCACAGAGCATTCAAATAACTGGAGGAGATCATCTCTGATGGAGCGCAGGACGCAAGGGGGAACTGCAACAGATGGAGCTGGACAGAAACTCTGGACAAAGAGAAGCATCCAGGTCATGAGAGGCCTTGTGTGCCCACCCAGGGCACTTGGACTTCATTATATAGACAATGGGGAGCCCTAAAATCTTCAAGTACGCAAGGGAGATCATTCCATTTAGGCGTTAAGAACATCACTGTGTTCACAGGTACCAGGGGTTTAAAAACATTTTTTAAATCTGTATCACTATGGCATAATGGTGTTGGACAGTTTAGGGGAAGGGCAGCAGCGTGGGAGGCAGAGAAACCTGGTAGAAGGCTTGCTGCAATAGCCTCGGGGAGATGAGGGTCTAACTATGGGAATGGGAGTGGACAGAGAAAGGAGAAGCGTAGAGGCAGGAGCAAGATCACTTGGTGACTCACTGAAAGGGAGGGAGCAGAGCCGGCACGGTGGCTCACGCCTGTACTCCCAGCACTCTGGGAGGCTGAGGCGGGCCGATTGCTTGAGTTCAGGCGTTTGAGACCAGTCTGGGCAACGTGGCAAAACCCTGTCTCTACAAAAATTAGCCAGGCATGGCCAGGCACAGTGGCTCATGCCTGTAGTCCCAGCACTTTGGGAGGCCGAGGCGGGCAGGTCACCTCAGGTCAGGAATTCGAGACCAGCCTAACCGACATGGAGAAAACTCGTCTCTACTAAAAATACAAAATTAGCTGGGTGTGGTGGCGCGTGCCTGTAATCCCAGCTACACGGGAGGCTGAGGCAGGAGAATCGCTTGAACCAGGAGGCAGATGTTGTGGTGAGCCAAGATCGCACCATTGCACTCCAACCTGGGCAACAAGAGTGAAACTCTGTCTCAAAAAAAAAAAATTTGCTAGGCCTGGTGGTGTGCACCTGTAGTCCCAGCTACTCAGGAGGCTGAGGCAAGAGAATTGCTTGAACCCAGGAGGCGGAGGTTGCAGTGAGCCGAGATCGTGCCACTGCACTCCAGCCTGGGTGACCAAGCGAGACTCCGTCTCAAAAAAAAAAACCTAAAAACAACCTAGTTTTTCTCTGGAAAGCAAAAATCTCTTACTTCAAATCAAACTAACTTAACGGTACATTATCTTGAGGAGTAATAATTTAAAACTAGAAAACTAGCTTTCAGTTAAAAATTATTTCAATAAAAATTAAACTTATCAGTTATTTTATGTTAATAAAAATTAAGGACTGAGCACAGGGCTCACACCTGTAATCTCAACACTTTGGAAGGCTGAGGTGGGAAGACTGCCTAAAGTCAGGAGTTTGAGACCAGCCAGGCAACAAAGCTAGGTCCTGCTTCTACAAAAAATATAAAAATTAGCAAGCATGGAGGCTCATGCTTGTAATCCCAGCTACTCAGGAGGCTGAGGCGGGAAGATCACTTAAGCTCAGGAGTTTGAGATTGCAATAAGCTGTGATCACACCATTGCACTCTAGCCCAGAGTGAGACTCTGCTCAAAAATTAAGGTCATGAACTGTCACAAGTTAATAAAAATTAACTAATTACTTTTATCCTTTAAAAAACTGCCCTTTCGCCCCCAAGGATCAGCATATTGATAAGTACTACACGTATCTAGAGCTTTCCACTACACATTTTCTATTATTTAAGAAAATTATTTTGGGGCTGGGTGCGGTGGCTCATGCCTGTAATCCCAGCACTTTGGGAGGCCGAGGTGGGCGGATCACGAGGTCAGGAGTTTGAGACCAGACTGACCAACATGGTGAAACTCCATCTCTACTAAAAATACAAAAATTAGCTGGGCATTGTGGCCCATGCCTGTAAGCCCAGCTACTTGGGAGGCTGAGGCACGAGAATCCCTTGAACCCAGGAGTTGGAGGTTGCAGTGATCTGAGATCACAACACTGCACTCCAGCCTGGGAAACAGAGTGAGACTCTGTCTCAAAAAAAGAAAGAAAATTATTTTTGTATACATATCCAGTATAGAGACAAGTGAAATATTTTAATTAGATAATCTACATAAGGAGAAAAGGGAAACATTCCAATAAACAGAAGAAACAATAGACCAGAGGTTAAAAAATCACAATCAGGACCTTGGGCTCTGTACTAGTATTTTCTCATCTTAGAAAAGTCAATTATCTTTTGGGACTGGTTCGTAGTTGCCTCAGCAGTAAATGGCAGATGGTATTGGGCGATTTCTAAAGTTCTTTATTCAATCAAATCTGTAGACAACTTGTCAGACCCCTTTTTCTTCCCTGTCTTTATATTCAGTTAACTACTTACTGCACGCTGAACCTCAGGGTGTGTCAGAGCTTCTAGAACACAGGTTTGAAAATGAGAGAGTGGACTGAGATGATTTTTCAGAATACTTCCCCAGAGATTCCAATCCAAAGTGTCCGAGATAGGGACTAGACACATATTTTTTTTTTTTTGAGACACAGTCTCAGTCTGTTGGCCAGGCTGGAGTGCAACGGCATGATCTCGGCTCACTGCAACCTCCGTCTCCCGGGCTCAAGCAATTCTCCTGCCTCAGCCTCCCAAGTAGCTGGGATTACAGGCATCTGTCACCATGCCCAGCTAATTTTTGTATTTTTAGTAGAGAAGGGGTTTCATCATGTTGGTCAGGCTGGTCTCAAACTCCCGACCTTAGGTAATCTGCCCACCTCAGCCTCCCAAAGTGCTGAGATTACAGGCGTGAGCCACCGTGCCCGGCCCATATTTTAGAAATGGTTATTCTGAGGAGTAGCTGCAGTTCAAGCTCTGTAAGAGGTTCTTGGGAAAAGGGCCAGAAGATGCCTGTCCACCAACTACAGGCCTCAGCAGGAAGTCTGCACCATTCTTGGGGAAAGGAAGAAATAGGGAAAAGGAAGGAAGCATCAAACTGGAGCGGCTTGGACCCCAAGCATGGCCTTCAGGGCCACAGCTTCAGCTGGAAAACTCAGTCTGGCCACCCTGAATCCCACCAAGGTCACTGGAGGACTCAGCACGTTTCCCACGACAAAAAGGCTCCATCTCAAGAAAAACAAAAACAAAAAAACCACCACCACCACCAATAGGAAAAATTCCTAAAACTTTTTTCCTGGGTTAGTATTTAACATTAATTTGGAAGATTTCTTTTTTTTTTTTTTTTTTTTTTTTGAGACGGAGTCTCGCTCTGTCACCCAGGCTGGAGTGCTGTGGCCGGATCTCAGCTCACTGCAAGCTCCGCCTCCCGGGTTCCCGCCATTCTCCTGCCTCAGCCTCCCGAGTAGCCGGGACTACAGGCGCCCGCCACCTCGCCCGGCTAGTTTTTTTTTTTTTTGTATTTTTTAGTAGAGACGGGGTTTTACCGTGTTAGCCAGGATGGTCTCGATCTCCTGACCTCGTGATCCGCCCGTCTCGGCCTCCCAAAGTGCTGGGATTACAGGCTTGAGCCACCGCGCCCGGCCTGGAAGATTTCTTTAACTGAAAATTTCAACAAAGTACCAACAGAATGTGGTATTAAACTAAAGTCACTAATTTGTAGTCTAAGCCGAAAGGAGGCTCT